GTTTGTCGAGTAATTGGTGTTGCACGGCTGTGTCGTTTGTCGAGTAATTGGTGTTGCACGGCCGTGTCGTTTGTCGAGTAATTGGTGTTGCACGGCCGTGTCGTTTGTCGAGTAATTGGTGTTGCACGGCCGTGTCGTTTGTCGAGTAATTGGTGTTGCACGGCCGTGTCGTTTGTTGAAATATGCAAACACACAAAACTCAACCAAAATGTCTTATTTCTTACAGTTTACCGGAATCGGAGAAGAAAATCCTACCTCATCCAGAGGACGTCACAAGTAACTTAACTCCTACTATGGCAGCTGCTATTAGTGGAAATTATAGAATAACACGTTTGCTCTTGGATCGGTCATATTTCATAGAAGAACCACGGCAGCAAGCATGTGAGAGTTTTTGGTTTATGAGCGAGTTAAAATTTAAAAATAGTTTTAAAAGTATAAATAGGAGAAGTCGACAGCCGAATCTGGAGTTGGAGAATAATGTATAATATTTTAGTTTTAAAATATAAATTTTTGGTAGTCTCATGTAATATAATGTAGTATTCTAAATTATGTTTAAACAACTTAAATTTCAAGACAGCAATACTTGGAACATTGGAAGAACATGTGTCCAGAGAGTACAATATAAGCTCCACTGTCACCCAGTAGTTTCGCTTGGAAAGAGATATTAAACACTTCACAAATATTATCCGCTGAAGTTAGTAGTTAGGGTGCTTATCCTGTGTCCAATAGATGCCTCCTTATTGGTGTTTGCCAGGCAGGAGTCGGGCAATAGGGAGGGAAGAGGTAGAGACGATAACTTAATGGTTACATGAAGTATCACCAGAGGGCGAGACGCTTTGCTAAGGCGCCATGACAGACGGAAATTGTTCAGAAAGCGTGTTGCTAGGCCACCATGATGATCTCATCATAGTGTGTTTGCCTGTCTCAACATGTGATTGTCATCAGTGTCTTGATTTAATTGTTCTGAAAGTTACAAGTAAAACTATTATTTTAACGAAACAAATATTATAGCACTGCTACACGTGTCAGTTTTATCATACATATTATCCATCATTTGAATGAGGCAAATATTATAGCCAATAATTATTTTACAATTATCTGTCATGAAAGGATTTTACCGTACCTAATGTTTTTATAAATATTGAAAAAGACAAACTATTATGTTTTTGTAATTTAGTACGAACTGATTACAGTTTTCACTTCTATATTTAATCTTGTGTTTTTCATTTCTATAACTAACATCTACCATCCTGAAAAGGATGCTTATTTAAATCTCACACTTAGATTTATCAGTTGATCGCTAAACTTAAAAGGACTTTTAACTAGAAATGAAGCTATTGTTCTTTGATCGTTTCAAAGATATTAGGTCGTCAAGAAATTAATGTTGCGTTTTGGAACACTTTCATTAACTCCCCCCCAAAAAACAACGTACATCACGTATAATAGTTAAACGAAACACCTAAACATCATGTTAGTGTAGTCTATATAATGTATACCCTAATCCCTTATAGTGACGGCACACTACGAGACACACATTCGACATGTAATGCTGTTTGAATACAAGAAGGGAAACAACGCCTCTGTAGCTACAAAGAATATCAAAGAAGTTT